CCGCCGGGCTTTCCCCAGCCCGGCCGAGTGCCCCCCGCCCCCGCGCGCGCCCATTGTGAGGTCAGGGTCGACGGGCGCGTCGTGGGTCCCGGGCCGAGACGCCCGGAGCGGCCGCTGCGGCCAGTAGCTGCCGCCGCCATCGCCGGCCCCTTCGCCGGCTGCCCCGTCCAGACCTAGCCGGGAGGGGTGTGAGGGATGCAGCTTGGGGTCCAGCTCCGGCACCGCACCCCGTAAAGGGCTGATCTTCCACCTCGCCCCTCGACCACGGGACGACAAGACCACAACCAGCTCAATCCCCTTCCGGGTAAAGCGCTGGGACCGGTGGGCGAGCGGGGGTGGGCGGAGGAGGCACCGGGGCCGCCTGGCCTTCGTGGGCCTCTGGAGGCGCTGTCTTGGCTCGGGCCCCCACGAGGGCTTGGCTTCCGTCGGTTATCCGCCTCGAGTGAGCCGTCTGCTAGAAAGCCGAGAGCGTGAAAAATGCATTAAGCCATTGTGGACTCCCAGCGGGAAGCGGGTGGATGGCTTGTTCGTGGTTGTCACGTTTTTGCCGGGTGTATTTTTGGGAGGCGTGGAGTATGTTAAGGGCTTGGGGCGCGGCTGAGTTTTTGAAAGTCCAAGATGATGTCCGTCGGCACGACCTCTGTCACTCTTCGTCTCCAGGGGTATTTTGTGCCTCTTCAGAGAGACACCCGTGGGGGAGGATGTGAGAGGAGCTAGGAGTGTGGGGTGGAGAGAAATGTAGAAACGGGATTGGGGGTGTCGGGGAGCCACCGATGCTTGCTTCAGTGGCTCAGTTTCTTTCGCTTGGAGTTACTCCTGGACACTAGCTGTTTGGCGGGGTGGGCTACTGATGTCAGAAGAGCTAGTGTTTCAGCGTCCACAGGTTTGCTCTAGTGGTTCCAAAACCTAGCCTATGATGTGAAGACTTTTAGGTGTTAGTATCTGTGCTGCTTCCAAGCTGATAGTTCAACTTCTCGTGACACCCTTGTGAGGCCATGTGTTGCTCTCGCTTATGGTTGAAGAAACTTGAAGTCCCCAGGCCCAGGGCTCATAGTCCACACTGCAGTAACTGCTGTCTGCTCTTACAGTCACTGTGGTGTTTAGGTTATCAGAGAGTTAAGTCACCCCTTATGTAGTTGGGTATGACTGTCTTTTTGGATTGCAATAATGATGAGCCCTTTTAAAAAAAACATAACTTTTAAAAGTAAGAATTTTAGAATCAATTAATGTACTATTAGCATTCTGCAGACAATTTATGCTGTAATACGTTATTATTCTTGTCATCTTTTAGTGCTTGTGAAACGGAATACACAAAAGTATGGATATGGGAAACCAACATCCTTCTATGAGTAGGCTTCAGGAAATCCAAAAGGAGGTAAAAAGCATAGAACAGCAAGTACTCGGCTTCAGTGGTCTGTCAGAGGACAAGAATTACAAGAAACTGGAGAGGATGCTAACAAAGCAACTCTTTGAAATAGACTCTGTAGACACTGAAGGAAAAGGAGACATCCAGCAAGCCAGGAAGAGGGCCGCACAGGAGACAGAACGTCTCCTCAAGGAGTTGGAGCAAAACGCAAACCACCCACACCGAATTGAAATACAGAACATTTTTAAGGAAGCCCAGTCCCTTGTGAGAGAGAAAATTGTGCCATTTTATAGTGGAGGCAACTGTGTAACTGATGAATTTGAAGAAGGCATCCAGGACATCATTCTGAGGCTGACACATGTTAAAACTGGGGGGAAAATCTCCTTGCGGAAGGCAAGGTATCACACTTTGACCAAAATCTGTGCAGTGCAAGAAATCATTGAAGACTGCACGAAGAGGCAGCCTTCCCTGCCGCTGTCTGAGGACGCACATCCCTCTGTTGCCAAAATCAACTCTGTGATGTGTGAGGTGAACAAGGCCAGAGGTACCCTGATTGCACTTCTGATGGGGGTGGACAACAGTGAGACTTGCAGGCACTTGTCTTGTGTGCTTTCGGGGCTGATGGCTGATCTGGACGCTTTAGATGTGTGCGGGC